GTGAGAGCACTATATATACATACTGTGGAATGTTGTATTTTAAACAGCTTTATTCCGTAATAGCACTATATATACATATATATATATAATATACATACTGTGGAATGTTGTATTTTAAACAGCTTTATTCCGTAATAGCACTATATATACATATATATATATAATATACATACTGTGGAATGTTGTATTTTGAACAGCTTTATTCCTTAAAAGCAGTTAGAAGTGTCTGAAAGAAGTTTGTAACTTTACTTATGCAAGCTTAGCAAAACCACTTTCTGACACAACTCATGTTAAAGAAAATGGTTTTATAAAATGTATGACTGAAAGATTTGTTTTCTTTATTCCTGTACATCAAAAACTTGTGTACAGGTAACAATCTGCTGTTCAAGCAGATTAAACAAAGTCAGTTTTCTTTTCTTTTTACGATATAGTTTGTTGGATACTTGTATTCATGAACCCACATAAATATGAAGTATCTTGTCTACGTTTAAGTAAAATATCACCATTGCAAAGAAAGCGGGACATAATCAGGTTTATTTTAATTGGGTTCGTCAATGACTAGTAAGTCTCATTGTTAAGTGTCTGTTTTAGTATGTCTAATCTTGTAATTGAAAGATATATTTGAGAAGAACGCTTCCCCACAATAATTGATTTCAGAAGTAAAATCAATATTTTTGTAATGGAGAACCACCCTTTCAAAGGAGGAATTACAGCGTGATTGAATAAGACTAGCGTAAAAAAAACAACAACACACACACAGCCGTCAATTGTGGAAATAAGGCCTGAAATAACTAAATAGACGGACCCTGTTACCCATTCTAAGCGAGAAAGAGAGTACAGTGCTTTCAATGTGGAGTGTAATGTGAGCTCTTCGTATCTGATGACTTCTATGAATATCACACGATACGGCTATCACTTTTATAGATAGCTCTTCGTATAGATAGCTTGAGTGAAACAGCACGACATGACACACTAGTTCCTTTGTGTTAGAGCACGTAATCCTACTAAAAATAGACGAATAATAAGGCAGATTAAAGAGGTTATTGTAAATTCACACAGAGTCCACTAGCTTGGACGTTGCTTGTCTTCTATGGTGGGGGGAGGGGGATTGGTTTGGTTTGAATTTTGCGCAAAGCTACATCAGGGCTATATACTCTTACCGTCCCTAATTTAGCAGTGAAAGACTAGAGGGAAGGCAAGCTAGTCATCACCACCCACCGCCAAATCTTGGGTTACTCTTTTACCAACGAATAATGGGATTGATCGTCACATTATAAAGTCCTCACGGCTGAAAGGGCGAGCAAGTTTGGTGGGATGGGGATTCGTACCTGCAACTTTCAGATTGCGTCTCAAGCGCCCTAACCACCTGGCCACGCCGGGCGGGGAGGGGAGAGAACTTGCTGTATGACAAGAAGTCCTTCAGTTTATCTAGGTTCAAAGAATAGATATGGGAAGTATTGAATAGGGTCGCTAACTTCAGTCCTTGCTTCTACTGTACCTTCAATGTTATAGCGACAGGCCCTTGAGTCTAGTAGAATCAAAACAATGATTACGTGTTTGTTTTTATTTCAGGGACGTGGGTGAGAAAGGGAAAAGTGTCGATTCGACCAAGGGCACGGAAGCAGACGGCTCGGGAAAGGACGATCACAAAGGAGCAACAGATCACCGGCACTTACTCCAGAACTCCGACTCCGAGCCAGCTAGCAGCCCTGATGGCATCTTTGGCACGGAGTTGAAACCGACGGGCATGAGCATCGCTGCTCAAAATCCTATACTACAGCACCACCCCGTCTCTACCATATCGCCAACTTCGTCGGTCGGAGTCAGTCAAAACGCCGCTGTAAGTGGCGCTTTCCGACTAAACCACACGCCGGAGTTTCCAACGACAATGCACGGAGTTCTGTTGCATCCGCAGCTCGGAGACTTCGGATTAGGCCTACCGACCGATTATCATGCTTTATGACGGTCAGTGGCGGGTTCTGTCCGATGGTAGAGCCAAGGTGTCCGGCCAGTACCCGCCGTCACTCGGTACTTTAACCTCCTGTGTGTTTCTTTATTTCCATGTTAGAATATTCAATGTGAGCCGATGCTCTGTACTTTACGATTAATTTATAAAATGGACAAGGGCCATTAGCAGCCGCCATGTTTGTGAACGTGTAAAAGAATAAAGTCATTTCTGATACATTTATTAATGTAAACTACGTAGAGGGTGTACCTCACACATTTACCTTTAAGTCTATGTGTACAAATGTAGATGATAGTTATATCCCATAGATAGATTTGAACTTGTAAACATTATGGCCGTCTCTTACTTAGCTTCTAGAATATTAACGTTTACTCTGTGTTAATTACAATTAAATGAAAAATAAGGTAACATATGCCTTACAGAGGTGAACATAATGGTAATGAATAATCATATCAGTATAAAACTTTTCTATGTGCCAGAGAAATGATAACTTTTTATTGCTTTCGTAAAAAAAAAAAAAATAGTAAAGGAAATGACTTAACTCGTAACATTTTCAAATCTTGGTTTAATCGAAAACAAAAATATCGTTCTCTTACGGTAACAATGTTAGCGATTGAGACTTGGAACGAAAAAACTTTGTATGGGTTATCTCTTAGTTAATGGCAGATATTTGTAATTATACTTTGAAGTTTGATACATATGTATTTTGGAGGTTTTTTTTTAACTAGTTAGCAGCGTCAGTTATAAAAACGATTTAAAAGTAAGGGTTAAAACTGAAAATTTGGCGCGGATATTCAAAGCCCATTGAAACAGTTCTTTTAAAATTACCGGCCAATGGATAACATATCTTTTCTGACGTAGGTATTTACTATTAAACAATTGGTCAAATAATAGCGATAAAAATCACACAAAACTTCAGATGTTTTGTTTGTTTTATATTTTTATCATTAGTTTTAGGCCTGTTGGTTTCATTGATAATATAATATTATATTCTATACATCCACGTTGTACTCTCTTCGTCACGTCAACCCTAAAACCAGATGGCGCTTCTTGCTTTATTCATTTTAGGAATTAAGCACAACGGACCGCCAACTGTGCTGTGTTCACCTCGAGGATCAACCCCCGAATTTTAGCTTTAAATGTTCTCAAACGTACCACTGAGCCATCGAGAGGGCGCTGTATTCCCTTTACGTTTTCTAGTTTTCCGTTATGACTGGCATGAACTTCGGATTCCGTGACTAATTACAGAACGAAAAATAATAATTATAAAATTTAGCTGTTCTTCACATAAACCAGGTAAATATTTTTGTTTTGGTAATGACGTAACTTGCAGCTTACTTTTACAGGCTTTAAAAAAATAACAAAAAAGTCATAAATAAGAAAGATAAACACACTCACATATCACATACTGTGCCTTTATTACCTACCTTGTTGTTGACGTCTTCTTTAATGATAGTGGCATCTGTATTTTTTGGCCAAAGCCATTTAAAACGTGAAACAAAAACACTAGTGAAAGATGGTAGCCTGTTTTATATATATTCCAAGGCTAATCTTTCAGCTATATATGTATAGAAGATTGCCTTAATGAGGTATATAAAGGCGTATCAGGAACAAGAAGTAACTCAATCCAGAATATAACATAAAAATGTCGACCAACTAATCGTAGAGCAAAATATTACTTCTTGTGGAAGAAACTTAACAAAATAAATACTTTCGGGCTAACTTTATAATGCATTTGTCGAAGGCAAGTTTTTCAAAGACAGATTCGAATTATATCTCACGTATAAGGTAGAGCTCCAATCTTAAATTGGTTTGTCGATCTCTGTAGCTCAGCAGCCAGCTTGAGGGCATTATAACACTGAAGTGTGAGGTTCGATCCCCTGCAGTGGGCATAGCACAGTTAACCCATTGCGTAGCTTGGCACTCAAATCAAACAAAACAAAATTGTTCTCAATACTATCTGTATAATAACTTTTACTTGTTAACAGACTGTCAATTTTTTTTTTCTCAAAACTTTTTGAAAACAAAACAAAACATATGCTCATTCATTTTCGATTATAACATGAAAACTTGAGGTTATTATTATTAATCGATCCAGAGCACGAACTTGCATGTAATGCTAAGTTTATCTACAAAATGTAAGACTCAAACGTCAGGTTACATTTCAACGAATATTTAATATTTTTGAAAGTTTGTTTTATTTGTTTGTTTTCTGCACAAACAGACTTGCCTGAATCTACAAATGTAACGTTAAAACTGTTTGGAGTGTGAGTAAACCTCAGTATTTTAGGCTTAAGGATTAGTAGTTGAACAAACCAACTTTTCATAATTATTTAAATGTTGAGGTATCCAGATGGTGTGAATGTTGAATATTTTCCCACCAGTTGGGTCTGTAAATAGCACATTAAGTCCTTTCCAGTTTAATGGTAGTATCCAAACTTAGATAGAGTTAAAACTGTTACTTCATACAGATGGCGAACCAGTCGTTCCGTATTTAAGTTATAACAACTATCAAACGTTTGTCTGTGTGTGCGAAAATTATATGTTGATAATTTACCTGGTGTGTATATTATATGTAATTCAGCACAAAGTGTTGTGTAAATAAATTTAAAACATTCTTGAAACCTAACAAAATATTTCTTTGTTTTATTTTCTCATTTTCCAAATATTTAAATATTTGCCTGTAAGTTTGGTTTGTTTTGGATTTCGCGCAAAGCTACACGAGGGCTATCTGCACTAGTTGTCCCTAATTTAGCAGTGATAGACTAGAGGAATGGCAGCTAGTAATCATCACCCACCGCCCACTATTGGGCTACTCTTTTACCAACGAATAGTGAGATTGGTCGTCACATTATAACGCCCCCATGGCTGAAAGCGCGAGCGTGTTCGGTAAAAGGGATTCGAATCCACGACCCGCAGATTGTGAGTCGAGCGCCCTAGCCACCTGGTCATGCTGGGCCATTTTGTCTTTAAGTGCTTCTCTCAGTTCTTGGACTTTTACACTGTATATACTGGTAATTAATTATTACAGAGGTTAACTTTGAATTTTAATAAATGCTCATAATCACTTAGCGAGTGTTTCTAAACCGAACTAGAACAATTGAATTATTTTCGTAAGAGGACCAAGCGTCTGTGGTTCGTGGTTCGCATCCCGTTACCGCCGAAAAAAGAAATCGGGCTCTATAATCTAAGAACGTGGGTGCGTTATAAGAGTTATGGTCAAATCCCACTATTCAGGCTGTCAAGAGCAGTCCAAGAGTTGGTGATAGATGACGTTAATTAGCTGTCTTCCTTTTATCCTATCACTTCAAAGACAAGAATCGGTGGAGAGTATATGTAGATCACAGGAAACAGTCGCCCTTAGATGGAAAACCGAACATTTGAAAAAACAAAGACATGAGAATCGGTGGAGAGTATATTAGATCACGGGAAACAGTCGCCCTTAGATGGAAAACCGAACATTTGAAAAACAAAAGACATGAGAATCGGTGGAGAGTATATGTAGATCACAGGAAACAGTCGCCCTTAGATGGAAAACTGAACATCTGAAAAACAAAAGACATGAGAATCGGTGGAGAGTATATTAGATCACAGGAAACAGTCGCCCTTAGATGGAAAACTGAACATTTGAAAAAACAAAAGACATGAGAATCGGTGGAGAGTATATGTAGATCACAGGAAACAGTCGCCCTTAGATGGAAAACTGAACATTTGAAAAAACAAAAGACATGAGAATCGGTGGAGAGTATATTAGATCACAGGAAACAGTCGCCCTTAGATGGAAAACTGAACATCTGAAAAAACAAAAGACATGAGAATCGGTGGAGAGTATATT